TGAAAGCAACCTTTGTGAAAAAAAGTATTCATTTCTAAAAAAAAAAAAAAAAAAAAATCTTTTTTTAATGACTTTCAGAATGTCAGGTGCTGTAACCAAGTAATACAATTTTTCCTTACACCATGCATACATTGTACATTTTATTTTTATTGTAATATTTAATAAATTATTCATTCATTATTTTTCAGTGTAAGTAGTTTGAGATTTTAGTTTTTTGTATTTATTATTATTATTATTATATTTATTTTATATTTATACAAATATCACAAGTTAATAATTTACATGGTCCTCTCTATAATAACACATCCTGTTTTGTTTTTTGTTCCTCTGCATGTTGGTTGCACCACATGACTTTTTTTTTTTTTTTTTAAGAAATAGTAATACAACATTATGCCAAACTACTAAAATGTAATTATTTTAATTATTAAATTTAAAAAAATGTTTCTTCATTGTGATATCAGGACATTTGTAACACCATGATGTTTTAACTATAAGCCCCCTGAAAAATATCTAAAACGTTAATTCAGAAGTTAAAAACATACTCATCATAGTATTCAAGTCACTTTTCATTTAATAAATTAAAACATCCAGACAAAAAAAAAAACCTTAAAACTTATTAATAATAAGTATTAAAATACAATTAAATTAAAAGTGGAGTAAAAACTCAAAGAATTTATTCTGCTAGTTATACTGATTTAAAAAAAAATGAAGTTAACTGGAAAAAATATGCCCTAGGCTGCCGCCTCTGTATTATTATTATTTTATTTTATTTTTTTCTTCATTCTAAGCTCAAGGTCACATTTTGGTGTGACTGAAGTTATTTCATGAGAAAAGCAAACAAAAATGCATGTGACTTGCTCAATGTTTGGCAAGTCCAATATCCATATCAGGGGAATATCCACAGGGTGTACCGTGCTTCATGTGAAAGGAGTGATGCTGTTCAAAGGATTTTTTTAGAAAGAGATCACAGTGACACTTTAAACCATCTAACCCTTCTGTCTCTCGTTCCTCTTCTCCTCAGTTGATGACAACCAGTTTGTGATGGATATGTGATGGATGTCTCCAGCTCATGTGGAAAATGGACTGTCTCAGCCTGTTCTACCAGCGCTCGTGATCTGAGGGATGATCACACCGGCTGTGGATTCCTTCATTTATGCCTCCATGCTTTATTTTTACTTTATCTAAATAATGAAATGCTCAGAGCAAGTGTTTCTGTTGTGGGGTGGAGCGTTTTGAGTTTGCTGGATGTTTGGTGAAAATGCAGCTTCTGCTGCTGTTTAATTCAGTGCCTTCATTCCTCTTTTTTATTATTTTTATTTTTTTAATATTTTTATTTACAACCATTCTGAAGGTGACTATGTAATCTACATTTTTACTGTCTGAGGATAGTTCAAATGCAGTTATTTCATTTTTGTAATGGAGCTATGATCCTGTGAAGGGCATTTAAGTCTTATATTCCATAAATAAACCGTTGGGATGATGATTTTTGTACTGTTTACTGTTCATTCTCTGGATGTAATATGACATTTTGGAATAAAACTAAAACAAAACGGTTTAAATCTTTGACTCGTCTCTTCAAGTATTTAAAATATTAGATCTCATGAACACTGTAAAAGTTTAAGTCGTTAAACAGGTTACTGGAGTATGTTTTATAAGAAATTACAATTCGTTTTTTCTACTTCAAAATAGTTTAATTCAGGATTAAATGTGTTACTAATTTAGAAATTTACTAGCCATTTCTGACTAATTTTTTCGACATCGTTATTTTTATGTAGAGTTAATGTATTCCGATTATTTAAAGAAATACTTTCAATTCAATACAAATCATAATGTTGATCGGAGAAAAAAAAAAAGACAAAGCTAGAAATGTGGAGCTAATTTTATAAAAACCACTTACATTCATTTTGCTAAAAATTGCATTATTTGAGCTGTGAAGTTCAAATTTTTATTTCATTTTTATGGTCATTTTAGGGTTTTTAGGCGTAATATAAAATTGGGTATAACTACACAGAAAAGGTTAGCAAGCACTATTTTTTACACTGCGATTTACACAGTGTTTACACTTAAAATTATGTTAATGTGCATACTGTTTACAACTTGTAGCTGTACTATTGCAACAAATTGGCTCCATTCACTTCTATTGTAAATGCCTCTGTAACCCATTTTAGCATAAATTGAGAAGGCCACAAATATGATAGCCACAAAAATGTATACCATAAATGTTGTCAAAATTATTCCTTTAATCTTAGTGATGCTTTCCGTTTGTAGAATGAATATTGTAAATGTCACTTCTTTACCCTCCTGCCTAGATCCCAGCGTTCTCATCAGATCAGTGTCAGTGTAAAAACAACAACAGAGCGTGTCCTGTCTGATGTCACATGGTGCAAATTACAAAACACTGCTCCTGAGAACCAGAACACTGTAGTCATGTAAGAAAGACTTTCATTAAAACTCACTGGAACATGATCGGTGAACTGGACACCTTCACGTCACTGTAATGTAGACAGGTCATCTGTAATATCAGGAGTGTTTTTGTTTGCGGTTAGGATAGCAGTTTTGCATTCAACCTAGTTTTGGATATAGCAATATATTTTTAAAATGACATGATGCAGAATAATGCATGATCCCATGCATGAAGTATCTTTAGCTGTAATGAGGATTTCCTTGCCCCCACGGGAGATATGCCAACCGCTCCAAATGTTACCAATATCTATTTTCTGCATTAAAGTCTATAGTTTGGTTTAATGTCATTTCAGTCTTTCCACCCTTAATACAGACAGTCTGAAGTATGCACATGATAAGAGAGAGAGGCCATGTTCCTAGAAAGCCACTTTGTTGATACTGAGAAATAATAAAGTGCAGCCAGGTCAATGCACATTGCACATCCATTCTGTCCCTGAACGATGACCAGGCCAGTCTGTCTGAAAGCAGTTTGTTTCTCATGAACTAAACATGTGCCATTACAAATGTGTCTGGAAATTATACTGTTGATGATTGTTTTTGTTAAGTAGATCACTGACATATGAGTCCATGACTAAATAAATATTTTAAAATTATAGTTTTAAAATAAGCCAATTACACATACAATACAATATTTTCAACAAATGTATACATTTAATAATGCTAAAAAGGTAATTTGTTGTTTCTATCAGGTAAAAACGTAACATTTTCATTGCATTTGGAATGAATGTGAGTGTACGAGTCTTAATATTTAATTGGGTTTTAGGAAGCTGTGACATTTTACAACCTAAACTAACCAAACTCAAATGATCTGGCATTTTGAGAAACTGTTCACCTTGACACAAAGTCATGAGGGCCTGCAGATTTTTTTATTTTTGATTTGACAAAAGTCTTACAAATATCAGTAAGCGGTGGAGCAGTTCTGTTAAAATATTTTTGTCTAAGAAAAACTAATAAATAAATGCCACAATCTTACATTAATTTATATGTATAATATATACTCCCTTGACATTTTTGAGTTAAGAACCAGATTATTGTCATTGATAATTCTTGATTTTGAAAGCGGGCATGGCTCAGTGCCAGTCTGGGTGAAAAAGTGCTGTGAACTCACGTGATGTCTTACTGAGGCAGTAATAGTGAGAGCTTGAGAGTTTTGTTTGGTACACAAAACCACCTGTTGTTTTAACACTCTTTATCACATTCCTCATGTCCTCAACCTTGAGACTCAGTCCTGGACGTTCTTTGTGACTTGGTCTAACCGACATCAGGTAATGTTTACACAAGCTGGTTCCAGCTTCATTTTCTCTCATCTTTAAAAAAAAAAGCTATTTTACAGCAATTTGCCTCAGATTGACAGATACTGAGTTTGATTGTCAATTCATGACTATTTAACTAGTTTTGAATTTTCATGTTCAGATGTTTTCAGCTAAATTGAATGCATCTGTCTCCTAATGTGACTGTGTATATAATGTAAAGCCTTGCCTATTGAAACAAATTGTAATGTAGCTACTCATGTTTCAGTCATGTATTGTTATACGTTAATGTGTGAAAAGGGGATTAAATTGAATCCCCACCACAATTCTACTGAGCATAAAGATCACATTTCATTCCCTCACCAATGAACAAACCCAGATGTTTATATTAAGATTATCTTGTTTTATAATATATAATATAACACGTTGTATAAACATAATGTAAGATCTCCAGCATTCCCTGACCCTACAGAGGACAAGCAGTTTGAAGAATGGATGGATTTATAATGCCAGGTTAAAGGCTACACGTGCTACGGGAATGTAAGTATTCTCCATAAACATAGATAACTTAGAACACAGCGAAAAATTTGACAAAACATGTCCAATTATTATTTTAATGTTTAATAGTAATTATAAATAGCCTCACATGACTGTAATCCGTCACTAAAAGTTTTATTGTGATAAATTAACAAGCTACGTTACAGTTAGCATGTATGGCAGCGAGTGTTATTCCTGTTCTATAGTGCTATCTAGAGCAGTGTTGCCAACTAATTTTCAGGGGAAGTTGCTGTGTGCCTTTTTATTGTTTGAGTCACTTATCAAAAGTTGCTAAAAGTAGCCAAATAAAATTTTAAAATAGCTACATTTGTTGCTAGGTGCTTTTGGAAGAAAAAGTTGATAGGGTAGTCTGAAAAGTTGCTAAATTTAGCAACAAAATTGCTAAATTGGCAACACTGATCTAGAGGCAAAATGAGGCGCTGTTTCAGGAGTTCTGAATCCTCTATTTTTCGGATGAAATCTGATAAAAAACTAATAATAATAAACAGTTGGTCTATATTCATTTGTTTTGTAGACGCATTATACCAAGAATTTATAGTCGGTGCTGATATGTCTTGTGTAAAAATCAACTGCAACGCGATTCAAAGGAATGTAATGTTAGAAATAACCATTTATTTCCTTTTCACGCATGTAACGTTAATTTCTTACCTCTCTTCGTGTTTCTAATCCTTGTCGTGTAAATTATAACCATAACACTAGTTTCCGACGAGGATGGGATTCGAACCCACGCGTGAAAAGCACAATACCGCTAATGCTTTGCTTTTGAATGATAGCCCTTACGAAAAAGAAGTTTATTCAAGTGTGCTATTAGTATACTTCTTTTAAACTAAAAATAGGAAAGTATACTTTTAGTCTACTTTTTAATGTACTAAGCACAAACTATGCAAAAGCGGCATTCCTTCCGGTGCACTCAGTGTCCGAATTCACTACTCGTTTTCATTCACTCCTTCTAGTGAACTGAATTAGTGACCTAATGTAGGGAATAGTGAATGAGGGTATAGGGGGCGATTTCGGACACAGCCAATGTTTCCCAACCGGGGTGCCGTCTGTCGAGAGCAGGAGTGCCCTGTAAAAAATATATTTTTTATATTTTTAAATTGCTAAAATATTCAAAAAAGCATATATTATATAATATCCATTTCTGATGTCGCCAATAATTAGAGATGCACCTAAATTTCGGCTGCCGAAAATTAGTTCACCGCTGAGGTTTCACTTCCTACATTAAAATCTGTCATATAAATTGGTCTCTTAGAAATTAGCCTACTGATTGCCACCATTGATAGACACATTTGTTTTTATAATATTAAAAATATCTGTATGACATTATATTCTGCAGTTCTTCCCTGTTGTACCGAATATCTATACTTTTCAAATTATCACATCGAAGTTAGAAATTCAAATATTGTGACAAAATTAATTTTGTAGGGTGCCACAAGTTTGTTAAAATTTCCAAAGGGTGCCGCGCCAAAAAAAAGGTTGGGAAACACTGTTCTAACAGATCATCAGCCATAAAACAGTATCAAAACTATGTAACATTATGGAATAAAATGTCGACCAATGAAGAGGTAATAATAACTGTCAAGCTTTGGGGTGTTGATCGACTTTATCTACGTTTTGATTATCATTCTGAATCCAATTCATAGTCTTTTTTCAGCTTTTTGTTCAAAATGTTGTTTATTTCTTTATTTTTTATTTATGAAACTTATCCACATTCAAGTGTTTAAAAAAAGAATGCATGAAGCTAGAATAAAATGTTTTTGTTTACAAGCAGATACCCTGTTCTTTTGATGTTTTGTATGTTCAGATATTCATGTAACAAAATATATACAAATTAATACCTAAATAGGGACATAGTAGTATACTTAAAGTATGATGTAAAGTTCACTTAAAGAAAACGTATGAGTATACTTGCAGTATAAAACTACTAAACTAGTAGTTTACTGAGACTATACTTCAAAGTGTACTAAAAATGGTACAAGTATTTAATTAGTAAACTATCAGTATACCTATAAGTTCACTTTTAGTATAGTTGCAATACAAACTAAACATTTTGATGTAAACTAGTTGTGTACTCAAAGTTTACTACTGTTATACTTAAAGTATACTTAAAAGTATACTTTTATATACTAGAAAGTGGGCCAATTTAGTCCCAACGGAGTATTGAAATAAAGTATACTACTAGTACACTGATATTTGTATACTTACTACATAAAGTATACTTAAAAATATACTTGAACTTTACTTAAGTATACTTACTAAAATAAACTTGAAGTATACTAC